CCTTTCATTTTTACCATATAGTCTCTGGCAGGTTAGAATGCCAAAAACCTTTCTGGAGTCACATTTAAAATTTACATCAGACAAGAAACCCTGAAAACACAGATTTAAAGTATAGTAGGAGATCAAGTTTGCTCAACTGATGAGCAAATCAACTAAACAAAAATCTAATTTTAAACTAGCCATAAACATTTATGTACAGAATAATAAAAAAAATCCAGAGGAAAAATGGTTTTATCTTCCTTTTAAGTACATTTCTAGTGCATATGCTGAAAACAATCAAGTCAAACGGTCTTTGAAACCTTACTTAGTACTAAGATGAGTGCCATTTTTTACTTAGATTCAAATTAGCAGACAGACATACCTAACTTGACAAAACGCTACTCATATTTAGAACATGCAGAAGGCAAGCAATTCAAAAGGTTCTGAAGCACAGAAAAATTTGCTCACATAATTGCCTCTGTACCTCTGATCCCCGAACCTGTGGAAGGTGGGTTGGACTACCAAAGTGATACTAGCAACTATCAGGAACAACAGACTAATGTAATAGCAATACACTTACTAATTAATGCTATTAGAAGTCATTCAACGTTTTCTTACAAAAATAAGAGGGTTTCAGTGAGAGAAGAAATATATACCTGTCTGTGCTTGAGGATCTGATGGCCCTTATTCATTCATCATTTGTCCGTATGTACCATAAGCAGCAAAAGACTAAATTGAATGTATGATTTCTAATCAAAATATTTTATATAGGTTTCCTCTGTAAGACATTTTTATCCAGACAAAGGAGGTGTCCTTGCAATCATTGAAACAAATTTGCACATTAAATTTTACTCACTGTCCATGAAATCAAAGGGTGTGATCAAACCTAATCTTTAATAAAGATTTTAGTAGTCATTACTTGGTACATACTCTTGATTTTCCTTCTCCTTTGAGGGTAATTCCTACAAAAGCACGATCTACTTAGCACAATTAATTCAATGGAGGCTTAATAGATGTTGCTCTGCAATGTATTATTAAACAAGAGTCAGGAACTAGAATCACGTGAATAGATTTCTTTTTTCCTAAACTTTCACATACGCTCATTTGAAAATGGTCTTACTGGGATAACACCACTTAGGGTCAGTCTCAGCATCGGAGTTCCTCACAAAACAATGCTGAACTTTGCCCAACATCTCACCCTTAGCCTAGGAAAACACATATTGGAGAAGAAAAAAACCGAACCACAAACCTTTCATCAGTCTCTTTCACCATTCTGTTCTCCTCTACATCAGGAAAACTATCTTGGCCAGCTACAACAGTGTTACTGCTAGAGGTGGTTCCTGTATATGAAATGTCAATAAGAACACCTGTTACATGCCACAGACAGTATTTGCAAAGCAATAAAAGCCCATAACTTAAACATTTTTAGCAGCCACAAAGTGATCATCCTGCAAGTACCTGTGCATATGAAGGAACCCTGTTACCTCTACAAACCAGGACCTGCTTGCATGGCTGAATGGTGTAAAGTGTACATGCTTTGAAGGGTAGATTGACATAACAATGCTGTTCCACTCCTTAAACTAAGGATGAGTAACCTATTGCTTTTCCAGAATGTGTCAAAACATTGACAAGGTTAAATTTGGGGTTGGTGTCTCTTAAGTATCTTTGACTACTGAAGCTTGGAAATAGCATTAGGCCTTCAAAAACAGAATTGCCACACAGTTGAGGCTTTCAGTTTTCAGGAAACTTGGCTGCTTTGGTAGATCACAGCATTGATGATGCCTTCTTTTTCTGAGAAACTAGTGGCAGAAAAAACACCTCATATGAGTTCTGAACAGCACCAAACATTGCTAATATCCTATTAAAATAGTTGAGAGAATTAAAGATACGTTTATATATCTTTACCATATACAACACTAGGAATCAAAAAGAACTGTAATTTAGATGTGCAACAAGGCCTTGAAAAGTGCACTTTATATACACACAGATCTGAACAGGCGCAAAAGTAGAAGACTGTTTTTTCAAAGAGATGAAAACTCAAAAGAGCCGGAGAGCATAACTGAAAAGTGTATTTAGGTCATACCAGAAGCTGCAGCTGAGGCTTTGTTACTGGCAGCAAAACGGTAAAATGGGGGATTATCACAGTGCTGGACTATTGGGTTCACTGGATCGGTTTGCTGCAGCTCAAAAAGAAGTTCTTCCATTGTCTGAATAGTGTTGTTGCGACATAGGTATATTGCAACCTTTTTTATCTAGAGAAGAAAATAACAGTTATTAAACTCTGTCCAGAGTGAATTTCCAAAGAAATCAATACATGTTACACTGCTGTACTGAAAAGATCCAGAATGCAAGTGTGACTCCTGGACAGACACCACAACCACACAATCGCATCCATCTTGTTCATACAGAAATAAAACCGCTAACTTTGATATCAAGGTCAGTTCCCCAGCAGAGTGAATCTGTGATCTAATTACCCCAAAAGTTTTGCTTACCATCCACAAAACAGCTGTTTAGGTATATAACTGTATAACATACACATATACAAAACCCACCTAATTTTGTACCTATCATTTAAGGATATCAGCATTAACTCTGAATCACACTCAGGGATTTATAGTTTGAGTATGTGACTTCCATCGAAGATGAATCTTACTCTCCTGAATGGAGCAAACTTCTCATCTAGAAAGCTAGATCCACCCAAAACTTCATGCCTGTATTTCCAGATATGGCTGATGTGAAAGAGATAGCTGTAGCCACAAAGAATAAGCCAGGCTCCGAGTAGTGACTTATATCTGTAATCAAAGTAATAGCACATGGAAGAAAGGCAGAGCAATTACATATACAGACTTCATGTATCCTGATTTGAAAAATCTGAGAGTATCACTTATAGAAATTCTGGGAATTTCTATATATCTTTTTAATAAAAAAAAGTCAAATTTTAATGTATGTACCACAGCAATGAGGACTGCTGAGACACTGAGATCAGATTAGACCAAATTCTTGAGGAAAAAAAAAAGGGATAACTATTAAAAGAATAGACTCACTCTGGCTCAAAAACATTTGATCCATAAACTGCTGGAGCTGGGAGACCATATGAGGAAGCATCTCTCGGTGTCCACCTTCCTGTTTTTAAAGATGTCCCTAAACAGATGCTTATAGTGGAGCTAATACACTGGACTGAACTGCCTGCTGCTCTCGCCAAGTATTGCTGTTCTTATACTCTTAAATACATTAAAACAACTTCCTGAAAAAAAATTCCCTCTTCTTTTCTCTCTGTGTTTTTGCTTAAAGTACAGAAAACGCACATATTCAAAATCTCTTTTACTCTACTGTGCTCAAAATTCCCCATGGACTTTCCAGATACAAATCCACCTCCTTTCCAAGACTCATTTCTAGCTGGACTCACAGTGCCACTTCCAGCTTCTTTCACCCCAGAAGGGGTCACATTCCCTATGCTAAGTCTTTGCTGAAGAGGTTTCTGAACTGTAAATATTCTAAGAAATCTTTCAGTACATATGTGAAAGAAAGGACAGCTCAGCAATTTGCACTGGGGCACTAGTAAAAAATGCTTAAAGGGAACATAAAGGACAAAGCAACGAATTTAGCCGATTCAAAAAAATAAAAAGAAAAAGTCAGGCATGCTTTTGGCTTGGACCCACACAGGCAGAACAGATGGCTGAAGGCATGAAGCAGCTGGTGACTGCCTTGGGGCACAGAGGGCTCCAAAAGGAGATGGGTAAACTGGCAGTCTTGCAACTGCCTGGTCTTCTGAGCCCAGGTGAGCTGGAACAGTGCTGATAAACCCTTCAAATTATCTTTATTTGCTAATGTGAATGCTTTATCTACATGATAACAGAAGATACATGTTTATGGTATCAGCAGTCTTGTGTAGTTAGCAGAGTTAGGTATGATTTCTTATCTGTAAACTCCAGGGCATTACCAAAACACTGAGCAGATGGGTGTGATAAACCCTGTGCTTTTCCTACTCCAGACTAAGCTATCAGTTAAGGGGTGACTCATAAGCACAGCCAGGCTTCCTATAGAAGTGGAAAACTTTTTCAGATTTTGCAAAATCTGAGAATCAGACTTTTAACTCAACGTTACAAAACACAGACTAACAGGGTGGCAGAAAACACAGGAACCTTGCAGCTGCCGCCACCAAGGAAGACCTGATTGCCTTGTTAACAGCCACTGGAAGCCTGGGAGGGAGAGCAGAAAAGTCCCACAGGCAAAATAGGAGCTGCTGAGCAGATGATGCTGGAGATTCCAAAACAGACTGCTCTCTTTGTGGAGTAAGAGGACTGTATTGTCCTGGAGGAGGACAGGACTGTGGGAGCCAAGGTTTTGAGGCAAAGGGTTTGGAAAGAATTTGAAGAAAGGAGAAGTGCTGTGGGTAGGAAGGCGTCTTGAGGTAGGCTGCTCAGAGCTGTGGTATGGCAATAGTTTTGGAAAAAGGATATGTTGAAAGCTCTGGGTTGGCAAGTATCTGGATGGGGGGATGACATATGTGAGGGGCTCCTGGGCAAGAGGTGACAGGTTATCAAGCATTTCCAATCAGGCAACATATTCAGGAGTGAGACAATGTACTCGGCACAGGACTACCCCTTCCTCATAGAAAACTGCCCCTATTCCTTTTGTAAGTTGTCACAAATACAACAGCCCTCATTTTGCCTGTTATCTGTGTGATTTCTACTTGTTATCTGCCAACACAGCTCCTCCTGATGGAGGCCACCTTTGGGCCTAGGCGCAAGTCTGTCACAGATTGTAGGATCACTCAGGTTACAAACAACCTGGGAGGTCTTTTATCTAACATCCTGCTCAAAGCATGCTCAACACTGAATGGGAAGACTCTGTCACTGTCACAATTGATGGAAAAGTATTCATTACCCTCAAGATATTTGGGATCAACCCCTTTGTCTTCTTCTCATATAAACCTTGAGCTTGTTCTTACAGCAACTCCACTTTCAACTCTCTCCTCTTTCAATTAGCTAGGCAACACTGACTTTGCATACACATGCACTGATTTGAGAATATAGAACAGTGAACCCTACAAATAAAAAGAAACCAACAGGATGTCTATGGTACAACAACATCATATTGAAAACTTTTACAGTCTTCTATATCTGTCTCCTTCCCTGGAGATATTCAAAACCCGCCTGGATGCAGTCCTGTGCAACCTGCTGTAGATGAACCTGCTTTGGCAGGGGGTTGGACTAGATGATCTCCAGAGGTTCCTTCCAATCCCTACCATTCTGTGAGTCTGTGATACTTTTGTTATTCTATTATGCATAGCAGTTGTCATAAACACTTCACGCAAAGTATTATTTCAGCAGCTGTAAATGAAGTATGTTTATGAGGCTTTTAGGTAAGATTAATCACATTAATAGTAACTTCAGATTTATTTCAGGGAAATCAACAGAAAGAGACTAACTAACAAAACAGCATATTGTAATTGTGCTGGAAAATCTACTAAATTTAGATTGTGTTTCACCCAGCGACTGAGCAATAGGGAACATGGGAATGGGACTGTCTTGCTTTTCTCAGACAGCCCTGATTTTATTTTAACTTGAATAATAATATCCTGCACAGTTTGACTTGCACATTGCAGGAACAGTTATATAATTCATGACAGCCATGCAAAGGCAAAAGTTGATATGGCAAGGAGCTTATAAAGATTAGCTATCTTGTGTCTCTTGAGATTTCCCGCAGAAAGCCTTAGCCTTCAGGAGAAGAGAGTGTAGCACTTGCTTAAAACTACACGCTTTTCTGAAGGAACACCTAAGTCTTTACAACAAACAGATAAGATCATAGCATATTATGTCCCATTCATGCTATAACAGCCATTGTTTAAAGGACTTTCAAAATTTAACTAATAGCTTTGTAAACTCATTGATTACTGAGAAAAACATTTAGTATTTTAACTTCTCTTCATTTCTCATGCAAGTTATTTAACCTCTGAACAGCCATTCTCTCTTTTAAATAAAATTTTAAATATATATATAAATTGCATATTTTTATGCAATTCTGACTTTTTTCTAATATTTTTTCTCATTCATTCTGGCAATTTATGGCCAGTCCCTGTTACTGGCCCCTTACACAGACATGCAAAGTTGCTCTTTGCTTGAGAGGAGCCCACTTGCTTGAACTGAACTATGCTCCACTGATGGAGACTGAGATTCCCACTACCCAATTTGTTTCTTGAATTTCAGTTGGCTCATTTATTCCCATGATTTAATTTTATATAGTGTACTAGAGAATATGCTGGTGCTTCTTATTTTTGAAACAGAAATTAATTTTCTGCAAGTGACACCTGTTTTCTTCATTAAAACCTGTGCAACCAATAATAAATAAAGTGCAAACACTTACATAAGGTAAAAGGATGGTATCACTGCTAACACCACACAAACTAATGAGAAACTGCAGGGTTATCCTAAGGTTGTTACTCCATTTTTCATTGTTGGCCAAAGCGTTCCAGACATTTTCCATCTCTGGTCCGGGAATTTCATCTCCATACTGCAAAGCATCATAGACATACATTTCTTGAAATACGCCGGCCTCCAAACTAAGGCACGCTCTTTTAGAGCATTTTGTCATTCAAAACCAACAGTAAAATGCTGTAAAAAGTGACAAAACAGTATTTTCAAAAGCTACCTGACAAACACCAGAGCATAAATTCTACTTGAAAGTATTTAGGTTCAGTTCCACAAAAGGACTTAAATCACACAGACATACACACAAAAAGTCTTCCAGGAATGTAAATTCAAAAGGTCACCCTAAATCAAGCAGTTTAATTGGTTTCATCTTTACCATTGTTCAAACAACTGAGTTCTTTTTCTGCATGTCTGTACCTAAGTGCTTCAGCCTTCATAGTAGTCAACAATTTGGCACCTCCCTTCTGAGTAAATCCTATGAGAATTAAGCCTTAGATAGCCCTTTGCTTTCACATTGGAAAAGAGCAGCTTTTGCTCTCTTTTGCAAGACACGGTTATAGGAATGACTCCTTTTATCCAGTCAATTAAACGGTCAGTGCATGCATCCAGGACGTGGGAGTCTAGAATTGAAGCTGTTCTGTTTCCTACATAAAATCTTTGGCTCCCAGTTCGAGAAGCCTGTTTTAACAACTGCACAGACGGACATTGTGCTAGAAGAGGAGTGTCAATCTCCAGCTCATCCTATTCCGCTCAAAATGACTTAACACATATTAGCTACATCTACATTGTCACTGGCATCTACACCTACTGCCATCTACACTGGCACTTCCAGGTGCCAGCTCCTTTATCACACATACAGCCTCAAAGCTAGGTCAACTGATACGGTTTGAAGAAAGCACACTTGTTCACTCTGGAACAAAAACTTAGTGTGGTTTTGGAAGCAATGTACTCCAAGGACTGCTGCTGATAGGCAGTAAAGGTGAGAATGCAACACATCTGTTTTCAAACCATAGAATTCCTCTTACAATATCCCAGAGTCTCGGTACCATCAGATAATTCATGAGCCAGTGTCGTGCCTTGCATATGCAACAAGTATCAAAAAAACACTCTGGTGGGCTGAAGCACAGCCCCCACATTACTTTAGACACACTTACAGGACACAAGACACACAAAATAATAATTACATTCTACTTGCAAAGTCTCAACATGAGGCAAGATCCAGAATCAACTGCTATGTAGCATGGATACAGACATTCTGCTCAAGAGAGGATTAACCCTGAGCAGGTTAGGAAATGTGAACTAGTCTGTCCCATATGCTATGAGTACCAGGCATTACTTCCCGGAGTTTATGATTTAGCACTTTAGGCATATGTACCGAATCTGGCAAAAGCAGTGCCACAGCAGGCATGGGATGCTAGTATAGAAGCCTGAAACTCAGCAAAGAGAAGGAAAAGATGAATTCCCAGTACCTTTTCCACCAGTTTCTTAGGCATTTAACATGAAAAAGTAATTGGAAAAAAGGAATCCCTGGCCCTTTATCAGGAACTGTGATGTAAAATACCTTCCCTCTTGACAAAAAATGCTTTAACTAGCACCTTAGAAATTTATACTCACTTCTTCCTTTTCTCTCTCTTACAGGAATTTTTGTTTCCTAGAAAGTACAAGAGCTTCAATAGGACAAATTCCAGATGCTTATTCTCACCCCCAAATAAACTTTCATCTGCTGCCTTAGACATTAACCTGGGAGTTGATACAGGAGGGAACTGAAATTATTTCCTCCATAAACTAAACCTTAATGCTCTCACTATTAAGTTTTCTTTAAAAAGGGTAAAATGCTTTTCTTTGTTGATGTTTTGAAAGAGAACAGTTTTAGCATTGTCCTTAAAAGAAAAAGTGAAGGATTTTCTTCAAAAAGGAGGTTGTGCCTGATTAGTACAGACTATCCCCGTGAAAAATTTATGGCATTAGAAGGAAGAAACCTAAGTACCTTTTGCTTGAGAAACTTAAGTTTGAATATTTCAGAAATTGGTTTAGAGGCTGATATTTTTGTTTGTTTTGCTTTTTTACCTTGGCCGTCATATACATGAGATTATTAAGAACCAGTGAGGTGGCCTCAGGAGAGCCCCAGCCATTGCCTTTTAGTCCAGTTGTGACTGTTATTTCACCATCCTTGTCCTTCAGTTCATCTTCTGGAGTGGTGGGGCTTGAACCAGGGAGAAGCAGTCTGTTGTCTACAAGTTCAATATTATGAAGCCATGGTAGCAGATAGGTAAGCATGATCTGTCTTCCATTTGGATGTGTTGTTGGAAATCGCTGGCTCACCTCTAAAAAAGTAAAAATTTAAAAGGACAACATGTTAGTTGATGAAGCAAACCTTAAATATATGGTTTAAGTCAGATTCCTGACATGTGTCAGACTACCTGATGCTTTTTACCTTGCAAATCACAAGCACAGAAAAGTATGCACTTGAGCTTCCTGAAGAGAAACATTAATTTAATGTTCAATAATAGCAAGCAATTGGTCAGGTCTTCTGTCTAAAATAACTAACATAGTCTGGGCTTAGAAACAGCAAGTCACCCCTTGTAACTGTGCCATATTATGTATTAAGTGAAACAGATGTCAATAAAGAGGTAAAAGGATAATTCAGTTACTGGCAGTTATCCTAGAATCTCAAGAGCTTTTAGAGAATTACAATAAACACACAAAAGTGTTCTGCAGAATTACAAGTGCCCCATCAGCCTCCATGTTTCTAAGCTACAGTTTAAATCTTAAGGCACTTATTATATTGAGTTTACAAAAACACCTTGCATGTATTAGGAGTCTTATTTCCTGTGGGGAGGCCTATAAAACTCATAGTCGGTTGCCAGTCCAGGAGTGCTTGCATACAGCAGTTTATATAGTTTATAAAAAAAGAGCTGGCACTGTAAGGGAAAGGGATTTGGAAAATCTGGGATAAGAAATACAACGACAGGCCTCCTGCCAAGATGAACCACATTAGCTCTCTTCACCAGAATTAATCTGTAAAATCAGTACAGTTAACATTTCCTTTCTTTCCTCGCTGCCTGGTTTTTAAAAATCTTCAAGGCATACACCGTTCTCTCTCCTTATGGTTCTAGATGTATAGAAGGAGGCCCTGATTTGGACTGTGTATCCGAGTTCTTTTAAATGACACAGCCACTACAGCAATATGAATAGATGGTAACAGTAACAATGAACAACATTTGCCTTTTTTAAGATAAATGAGCCATCAGAATCTCGCTACACCAGTTATTTATAACTCATGGTATCTTGGGCACTGAGAAACGGATGATGTATTGTTCCTTTACCCTTTCTCCAACCCCTACAGACTGAGTAAAAACAACAGAAAGGGATTTTAAGAGCCAGTAAGAATTCCCACGATTACAGACACTGCATTATGTCATTTAAAAATTAGAGCAACACATTAGATGGATTAAACCAGACAGATATATCTCAAAATGTCATTGTTCCCAGGAATGGTCTCAGAGTGGGCATATTCTGAATGGTGGTCCTGCAGGTCTGATTATTTAACACTTTTCTCAGTAACCCTGACAAAACGTATTTATGATAAAATTAAAATGATACTACAACTTGCAGATGTGGCAAATAACAAGGTAGAGATCACTCAGTGGTTTGAATTATTGGTAAATGGTAACATATAATCAATCTTCCCAAAGTTTAAGTCATGTTTATATAAAACCAAGAATTCTGTCCTCACAAGTACCATCCATATGAATGTATATATAAGAAGAATCACTATGCTTAACATGAGAACTCACGGAGCTTGTCAATGTCACTTTAACTGACTAAGAGCCCTTGTAATTTCAGTTACCCCAAGATGACACAAGCAGCACAGTTCCCAAACAGGGTTTATAAATAGCTACTCTCTACTTTGTCTAAGTACCTCTAGGAAATGTATATTGCATTCCTAAATCCGATTTGACCTGAACCAGAATAAAAACAGGTCAAGCTAAATTTATAAACAGGATTGCTGTTCACAGGTGGAAATGTCTATGTAAAAAAATGTAAAGTAGATAATAAGTCAAATAGATATAGGTACCTGAAAAAAGTGGAAGGGTAAGTTCGGGATACATCCGTGCTAGTTCATATGAAAGAAGGGCAAGTGAGACACTGTAAAGAGGTGGCAGTGGACCATGTGTACCATACAAGATACTGCCCGGTCTTTGCTCAGCTACCTTTTTTGAATAAACAAAAAGCTTTGATTCAAGGATCTATAAAAGACAAAAAAACAATGTAATGAGACAATAAGAATTCATTAATTCAGGAAATGTCAGCATTTCAAGTTTAGATATCAGAGAATGATCTATATTCTTCAGAGAATACTCTCCAAATTTGAAAGATACCATAACTAATATTTTTCCTTTCATTTTTATATAAATATTCCCATAAGTATTTATAGCCAAGACAAAACTAATTGTTTATCTTCAAAACCAAACTAAAACCCAAATAAACAGTACTTTATAAGAAGTTCACAAAAACACCCCCAAAGATAGGAGGACAAAAAAAGTTGCTGATACGTGCCTGCATAAGTTGCATGGAAATTTCATAAATCTCCCTGTTGGTGTCAGAAGCCTTGAATAGCACCAAGTTTAAAAGCGTCACTATATCAAAAGGATAGTTCCTAGAAGAATAACAGCACATTTTTGTGAATGTTGGTGAGGAATGCAGATTATACTCGCTCTGATTTACTCTGTAATATGGTCTAAAGAGAATGTTATCTTTCTTTTCTCTGTTCTACCATCAGAATATGGGAAAGGGAGCTCTTAGGAATACACGCTGCTTGATCAAAGGGACATCTGGTGAATGTGAAGAAAGAAAGTATTATTTATAATTACCTTAGACTAATAGTTAGGAATGCACTGAGTTACCCACAGTGAGAAATGCAATACCTGTGTCTATAACTGTCAATTCACTTTAATTTATAACATAAACTGTTTATAGAACAGGCCAACACCCACGAGAGAAGATGGGCAGCATGAAAACTTCCAGGCATAAAGTACTTCTTAAGCCAAGCTGCAGTTAAAACAGTTCCTTTGGAGAAAAGACACTATCTCTAACATGAACATTCCCAGATGTTAGATAGTTCTATCAAAATTGCTTTCAAAGAGGAAACATGAAGAACTGCTTCAAAAAGTCCACTATTTGTAAAGTCAACATTCATTGTAAGAGTAAGCATACTAAAGTGTTAAATTAATGAGAATATTACTAGAAAACGAATTCCTACGTCATAATATTTGGATTTTCACTAAGGAAGTTTCTGCTTTCTCATAATGATTTGTAAATGCACCTGATTCAATTGTGAACCATCAATTTCTTATCCTAGATGTGAACAACCGTGCTCCTGGATGTCTGCAAAACGCCTGTTTGGACATACTTGTGCTAAAAAACACGTCAAATACATGTGTGGCACAGGACATTCTTGGTAATTCCAAATACTACTGCAAATCATACCTCTAACTTAGTGTCTTTGTCTTTCCACTAAGTTTAAAGAATAATAATGAAAAATAAATTAAGGGAAGTAGAAAGATGGACATCAGCAATGAGACACATTACTGCTCATTTTAAAGTAGTTTAAGCAGTGGCCTCTCTATACACGTTAACAGGTCATAGAGGAAAAACTGCTAACATCTTTCAAATATTAATAAAAATCCCCAACTTGATAGAAATCGGACTTTCCCTTCAAAGTAAATAATGCAGATCATACTCTCAATTTTTACTCTAGGTATGGGAAAGATTAATTTTTAGGACACAGCAGCATAGACACAATCCGAGGAAAAAAGACTGGCTGAAAACCTGGTATGTTTATGTGTTCATTAAACAAACAAAAAACCCCTTAAAATAACTGGATTTGCAAACAAAAATTCCATTCATATTTTTAAAATCTCAGTATAATGCAGTCTATAGTCTAGTTGTTCCTGTAAGACCAAAAAGTTTTTACAGCTAAATCCTAAAATACTTGTTTTGATCTGCTGTATCCCAAGTATTTCTCTATTGAACTATGCTGATCAGACATCTTGCTAAATTATTTTTTGTCGAGTAAATTTTCAGTTTTATTTAAATTAGATGCAAATTATGTTCCTTTTTTTAGACTACCATTGAATTTATCTATAAATTTTGTCTTGAAAAAAGACCAAAAAAAGATAGATTGTTATGAAGGCCTGACATGAAAGCAGTATTTGTATTTGTGTCCTCACATAGCTTGTGCTTGCTCAGTGTTAGTGGCAATGAAGATACTAGTCTACAGAAAAGGAACTGGTAACCAACTCAAACAAAAGCCAGCTAGAAGAAGAACAAAACAATGACTTTCAAGGTAGTAACATTTAAAACATTTTTCCTTTTATAACATAAACGAAACCCCATGCCAAATCTTTTGAAACTAGACTTATGATCTATGTTCAAATTAAAGTCTTGTGGTTATTTTGTATCTTCCTGAGCAAAACAGCATAAAATGCCACAGATTTCAAATATACATGTAGTAAGAGCATCTTCTACCAAGCACATAATTTGGTTTTTCGAATCATGGAAATAAAGAGATATAGTCCCCAAGAATTGTTTGAGAGGACATAATGTCAGAGTGTGACTAACAATTCTTTACAAGCTGAACCTCCAGTTTTCTCTACGTTTGAAAGTGTAGATTAATAGGTTCGTTAATACCTGCTTCCACACACAGTTGCAATGGCTTTGAAACATCCAGAGGCAAGCTGGTATGATCCAGTGTAACATCGATCTATAGCCCAGTTGAAGAGATTTATTTGATCAGGATTCAGTTCTAGCAACAGGACTACAACTTCACAGCCAAGCTGATGAACCTGAGCATATAAATACATGTCAAAACATGTTTGGTGACATCAGGTATGTTCATTCTCTAAAATTCTTAGAGTGACATAGGCAAAACAAGGGGAAAACATACTATTCAAAATGGGTAAAAAGAAATAGGAAAATTTATCATATATTTATTTTAGGGATAGCAGAATTGAAATGTGACTCAGTTTTCAATACTCCTCACTTGAAAGAAAATTGCATGTACAAAGACTACAAAAATGAAATAAATTTTCAAAGGAGATTTCCAAAATTAAGCATGAAAAAAAGCAGAATCTTTGGAAAATCTGACACTTAATAGGTGTTCTTGAGCAACTTCCAGTTGTATTGGTTAACTGATTTGTTAGATGTTTATTTCCTACTCCATGTGAGTTACATAAAGTGACACGCTTTCATCTTTATCCTTCTTTTGACTAACACAGAAGCAAGGCAGACAGAGAAAAATACCTTTTGCAAGCCTGAGGGTATGAAAACTTGTATGTTTAATCCAGCTACATCAAGCAATCTAACAACTCTCTCTACAGACCCTGTTGTATCATTTAATCCTGGCACCACCACTGCTACAATCACATCACAACTAAGGCTTGGACTGTGCCTTTGTGTTAGAGGGTAGTACTGGAACACCAAACACTACTGCCTATTGATATTCTATCACCAAGTGTAGGTAACTACCTGTAAAGACTATGAATGATATTTAATGGATGGGGTAGGATCCTTCTCATCTAAATCTGAACCAGTTGTATACACAATGCAGTTTAGTTACAGTCCTTCATTACAATGATTATATCATTATATCAACTATAGTGATTAGCTTAGGGGAAGCAAAATTTACCTATCATATCCAAATTCTGTATTTCAAGCAGAAAAATGAAAAAAAGGTAAGTTTTGTCCCCAATTGCTTCATGAGCAGGATATACTAATGATCAGTTAGACATGGTGACATAAGATTTGTTGATGATAATGAAAACATGTCAGGAGGAAAAGTGTATCTTTTCCTTTCTCTTCTTCTATGCGTTTCCTTCCCACATCCATAAGGATTTCAATTATACATATCACTTACACGTATCTTTATAGCTCCATCCCAAAATCTTATCTAACTTCTGAATGACGTTCTATATAGCTATTCCTTTTTTCTAATTTGTCCAACCTTTTTTCTTCTACTCAATTACCATTTCTACAGCATGTATCTAGCTGCTCCACAAGCCTTTAGGTTTTGCTATCTGCATTTTTTTTTTAGCAATCACACTCATACCTGTGCTGGTGTGAGACTTTTAGAGAGAATAGCAGGTCAAAGTGCAAGACAGAACAAAGATCATTGTTCTCTCTCTCTCTTTAGATTAATGTAAATCACCAACCATCTACTCCTCCTTAATCAAAGCAACAGTCCAATCAGCTATAAACACAGAAACATGACTGGGTAGTCACAAAGTCTAAAACTATCTTCACAGAACTGGAAGAGAAAATTGCAAAATAATCTATTACATGTTCTTTAAAATGAAAAAAAAAAAAAAAATTCTTTCCTCTCCTGAATCATTTATCCTCTTGACTTCTTTGGAAGATCTACCCACCCACTTGCACTCAGATTTGTTTCATCAGCATCTATGTTACCAAGCAGGAAGGGATTTTACATTCTTATTCCACAGGAACTTGAAACAGGTGGGTTGAAGCACTCCAAATAGAAACACAAATATTTCTGAGCTCGTGCCATTTTTAACCTTTCTTTATCAGCAGATAAAAAGCCTAAATTTCTGTTGCAAGCAACACTGAGCCATAAGGCAAATTTCAGCTTATTATTTACCTACATTATATTTTCAGGAAGAGTAATTCTTTTAGTGTTTAAATGCTTTAAAATGTATTACATTTTTATATTGGAACCTTGGATAAAGCTACTGTTTCCTGCTCAAAATAGAACATACACAGTCACAGTTCTTAGAGTCACAAACTCTTTACTCACCCAGTACAGAGATTAAAATTATTCCTCAGTATTGCATTTTGGTGAGTACTTACACGTAAATCTTGACAAGCCAGAATGTTATCAAGCCATTTGTAAAGATATCCATCAGGGGAAAGACCAACATTATCAAATACAGGTCCACAGCAGAGCACAGCTGACATGGCCTAAAAACAGAAGAAACATTGCTTTCACAAAAAAGTAAGATGAATGAACCTTTCAGAATTATTTGAGCCCAGACTGAGGCTAACAGGACTGCCACTTGTTTTTCTTTTTGAGGGAACTACGGTGAAAGTTGTAGCAGCTCATTTTGCTAGAATTCAATAATTACGTTGCTATAGATGTTACTGGATTCAAGATAACGCTCAGTCTAAGCATTTTGGAAGGAATGCTACAGCCCCGTTTCCCCATTCTTGAAGACACATTTTGTCATTTTACCCAGCCTTCACAAATCAAGGTACAAACCCAACTAAAATACATAAATATTTCAATAGTATCTTTCTGCAAAAATTAGAACTGTTTTACACCAAGTGATGCGGCTTATATAAGCACATAACCTACTATTTTCCCAGCTTACTTATGTGGAGGAGTTGCAACTGGTTTTGCTGCAAAAGTATTTTATTATTTAGCATGTCTCCAGGCAAGTGTGGGAGACAGCCCTGAGATGTACATGTGATACTGAATTGGTACTATATTTAATTTGAGAGTCTGAGATTCTCTCACCGAATCTGATAACCTGTTAATGAACAGCTAATTAAAATTTTAAAATGCATTCTGGTTTTTAAAATAATTAGCCTTGAAAAGTGTCTACAAAGAAAAAAATGCGTAACTTCAGTGTCTCATACTGCTATATTCTATGATCCTACTATACATATACATATGAGTATACAAGTCTGCATCAAGTATGCCAATTCAAATTTCTGTGAAATAAAAGGAAATAACCCCCACAATTACTTGTATTTTGACTGGAAAATTGCTATTACTGATTTTGACGGTGAAAATTTAATACCTTTAATGCACAATACTGGTATCTTGTAATCTGATGATTTCTATCACTGTAACGGTCCAGCGGTGTGAACATAATACTGAAAGGTCCTGCCCACTGGCTGAATAAGATGAACAGGTGATGCCTCAAGCTCTGCTGAGGGAATAGAAATCTCCTGTGGTGAACTAAGTGAACAGAAATAGAAATAGTTGTGATTTCTTAATGTTAAATGCACATTCATGTGGCAGAGATGATAACATGAATTTCAAATTTCTGCACAAAGGGAGTTTTTCTTAAATGTTCAACATCCATTTACTCCAAAGTATCTAAGTTCCTTTTAAAAATCTAACAAAGTGAATAAGATACCTCTTATTTCTAGGAACTTTCAGTTCTGAATTAATGTGTAGTTATACAAACATGTATATCTGACTTTAGACACAGCATGCACGAAACTAATTAGAGAATCAGGCTTTTCACTGCCTCTTGCACTCCTTTAGTAGCAAATATTTACTTGTTCTTTCAAATCCTTCAAATGCAAGCTCAAACAACACATATGTCTTATTCTAATACAGTAATAGGTAGGAACAAGAAACAAAAGAAACTTGGTGCTCGTTTGTGACAAAGATGTAGCATATTTTCTGAATAGCTAAATCACCTGAGCAAATGAAAAAATCTATGAATTCTTAACCATGTGGAGAAAAAAAAGACAAGTATTTTAAACAATACTTTTAATTCACCAAAGCAAATCAAGATGTCAGAGGCAGTACTACATTTATTAAAGACACTGTCAAACTGCTACTGGCCAATTATTTTTCACATAGAAACTGTGCTGAAGCCAACAAAGTGTAAGTAGACAACACTAATGTAAACCAATATGAACAATGGCTAAAGATGATACACAATAAACATTTGTTTGCAAGGAGTTAAATGTTACGGCTTTGTTAGATATTGATATATTTTAAAGCTGTCTTGTTAATAGAAAACACATCTCTGAATTATCGAAATGCATCAGTTACTGTATTATCCCAAAATTTACAACATAGCTGTTTCATTGTAGAAAATTCATACAACATGCAGTCATTGGTCACATGCCTTGCAGAACATAAGAATGAATGCAAAGAGGAAGGCCTTTGCAAATACTCATGGCAAAGTAACTATTAGAGAAATTCTGTATTCTTAATGAGCATCTTTTAGAACAGGAAAGAAATTCAGTATTTCATTCATTATCAGCAGCTAAGAACTTGACACCATTCAGTTCAAAGAGATTTTTTTACTGTCTTAAATGAGAATAGCAGGGATGCCATTTCTTCCTTATTTTCTTCCACTATTATATAATTTTTATGTAGCTTGTAACTGAAAGCAACTATATAACTTCGACAAAATTTGCACACTGGAAACTTACATGAAACCATTTGTACATCATTTATTCCCTTTACTCTTTTGAATTCCTTCGCATTTGTTGCTACCAGTGCTGCTATGTCCTGTCATAAATGATCTGGAGACAGCGGATTTACACAGACTGAGTAAGCTCCAGATCTTATCTTCCAGTCATTACACGGAGGCCTTTGAAGCAGATTTTTTAAAATTTTTTTTGCTAATGGAATTACACTACATTTCTGAAGGGCTCTTGCAGTATATAAAAAGCATGAAATCAATTGGAGAAATCTTTGCTATACAACTGGAGTCAGGTAACATGGGATATAGTCTCAACACCTCAGGTAAGTTTTTCACGACATTTAATATTGTACATTTTCTGCACCTACCTATGTTCTTCAAGGCCTATCTGACTTTATGGAAAGTCTGGCAATAAAGTTAAAGGGAAGAAAATATGTCCTTATGTCAGAGAAATCTGGAGCCCCTAGACGTCAGACAAATTCTTGGCTGGGCTTTTAAAGAGGTGTTTCTTATATATGAATATTACAAGTTTCATCAAGCTTTACTGGTTTTTATTTGACTCTTAGTAGACTTAATGTCCTTGATAGGATGAGGATTAACTGAAAGAGGGGAGATTTAGATTAGATATAAGGAAGAAATTCTTCACTGTGAGGGTGATGAGGCACTGGCACAGGTTGCCCAGAGAAGCTGTGGCTGCCCCCTCCCTGGCAGTGTTCAAGGCCAGGTTGGATGGGGCTTTGAGCAACCTGGTCTGGTGGAAGGTGTCCCTGCCCACGGCAGGGAGTTGGAACTAGAGGGTCTTTAAGGTCCCTTCCAATGCAAACCAGTCTACGGTTCTATGATTTTGAACACATTTTTGTCCACATTTTCCTTTATATTCACTATATGACAGTTCACTAGCAGCAAAACAAGCACAGGGAAAAAAAATAAATAAAAAATTACTTTTCCAATACACATATTAAATGCAATTTCATAGTATGTTGAAACAATTTAGCACCATACCTGGAACACACTGAATCAAGTTGGCAATCATTGCACTGAAATGTGCTCTCATATCCTTAAGGATTTCGACTTCTTTGTCATTTTCAGCCTCCAGAAGCATGCGAGTCAGATCAACATACTCCAAGAACAAGGCTCCAAGGGCTAATGTATCTCTTTCTAAGGCTCCATTTGTACTAGCATAAAAGAAAGTTGGACATTAATATAGTGTAAAAGTGTACTTATACCACAGCTTTCTGAAGAAATGCATAAAAATCTCTCCGTATCTGATAGATTACAAAATTCTTTAAAGAACACACTGACAAACTCAGTGTTGGAAACACTGAGAATTGTTTCACTTGAAGATCAATATTTATGATGAGTGATAGTCCTACCTGTCGCTTATAACACCAGCATCAGCAAGTAGTTCAAAAATTCGCAGTAACTGCAGTCTCAGTAGATCTCGGCGTTCTCGACGTTTCTTGTTCTTGGAATTTAAAAAACCAATTTTTTATATGCATAGGTGCATACATTAAAAACTAGTAACTTCAGAAACGTCAGCGCAGTAGTGAGATTTAAGAATTCCAGTTCAAGCATTTTCTTCATGAAGGAACTTGATTTGCTTTTGGATATTTCATCATAACAGCACGCATATGCCTCAACACAGAACTAAATATGACCAGATTTTTGTCTTTTTAAGTGTTCTTGAACAAACTGTTAACAACTACCTTAAGTCTTCATTGAAAATGTGGAAATGAAATAATGAAATACTGGATAAAAATTAATTAATATTCAAGGTTCCTGTGCCAAAACCGATGCTATCTTCAGGTAGCAGGGATATTCATGACAGCTTAACACCAGCTAGTTTGGGTGCTGGAAGCATTGTAAAGTGCAGAACAGATATCCAGACCCCAGGAAAATATTTTAGTCGCTAGCCATTCTTGAACTTGGCAATGCTGCAGCTACATGATCACCTATATTCAAATTAGCTCCTAGCAGACACCACTCTAGTACACTCTTGGAAGTGTTGACTGCAGTGGTTGTACACACAGTTAACATACTCCTCCCATATAAAAGGACTGCACTGTTGTTAACTGGTTCATTGTATCTCATTATCTTCTAGAAAGCTGTCCTTTCTGTCTTCTATCTCGCCTTGAAAGATGCGAATGCAACAAGGCCTGTTCTTTACTGAAGGGCTAAATTGACTTGTTTCTTTGTATCCTGCATCTCCACCAAGCAAAAAATTTGAGAAGGTCAAAAAGCTGCTATTGCACTCAAATTTGCTGCCAGAACACAAAAAGCTACAGAAAGCTTACATTTTCCTCTTCAGAATGTAAGAATGGCAATACTGAGTTAGATAGAAGGCTTGTCTCACCCAGTACTCGGGCTCTGCCGATGGCCAGTAGCAGGTGCTCGGGAAAAGGAAGTGATACTTCCCCTGGTATTCTGACCCAGGACAGGCAGTCTGCAGCATTCTAGCCAAAGGTTTTACTCAAATCATCATGCTATTTGATTTGTCCTGTGCAGAGCCCTGTGTTTTTCTCCCTTTACATCTCAAAGCTTCTGGGAAGCACATGTAGAGAAAAAAGTGGTTTTATTGTAAAACAGTATTTAACAGTCACAGCTGCCTCCTGCCACAGCGTCAGGGGTGATCTGGCAAGCTCTGTGCCAGTGCCCACATGGTGGATCTTGTGTAATGTCCATTTTGGTCTATCCCTGCAGCTCTTGGCTGTGCTAGTAGTTCTCTTTCTAGTCATAGCATATGTCAGTTCAAGGATGTTACTTCTGATGTCTTGGATACCTGCCTGCTGACGTGGAGGCCTGACATGTTCTCTACAGCTACATGACCCATACAGTCCCTTCCGGGTTTAGTGGTGGCACTGGTTGAAGGAAAGTGGCCCAGTTCTTCACATCAGGAGCAATACAGGAATTAACATTGCAGTCTTGTGTTCTCATATTCCTCTACCAACATTTCCACGTGCTAAATTTGCTCTTACACCATACTGTAAACCTCTGCATTCTCATGATTCTTTTCCTAAGGGTAGACTGGATATGTATGTCTCCAGAGAAGGCCTTTCAAGTCTAAGTTGTTTTCAGTGGTGCACAGGCAGAAGTGCAGAGGCAAGTGGCTGCACTAATGAGTATTAATCCACTTCTGCCCAGTATCAAAACAAGTGACCTTCAAATCAATGACTTCATAGGGATGGAAGGCACACAAGTGAACTGAGGTGTGAAGCAACACGGAGTGGAAATGGTAGTGGATGATTGCCAGACACAGAATTATTAAGAACTGTCCACATAAAACTTAACACAAATGAAGTGCCCGCCAAGAGAATTAATTTTTGTTTGCTTCCATATTGAGCACAGCTGAGAGCCTCTGTCCACCTATTAATAATTTAACTTCTTCCTGACCACCATTCTCTGCATGGCTTCTGCACCAAAGACTATGTCTTGACAGACAGGGACAGCACAGCAGGTCATCATGATAATACCTTATTGAAATTGCTGTGGAGGACAGATTAGAGAACACACAGTTTGCCTGAGAACCCGGTAAACAAGCCTGCGTAGAGGACAGTATTAATGCAACAGCATCGCTTCCTGCACGCAGCCGTGTAGACTTCTCAGCAGAGCTGCATGGACACAATGGCCATGTCTACCCTGGTAAACAGAGACAGGGACTGTTCGAGGCCCTATGTCAAGTAGCAGAGGCTGCCTCATATTCACACTGCTCCAGAAGACCTCAAGAAGGCTGGATATGTCCATGTTGCCTAGCAGGACTCATGCAATGCTCCTCCAAGGTATTATCACTGTGTGTTTTCTTATCACAAACGGCCTGCTCTAACCAGAGGGCTGTGCTGCAGCCAGAGCAGTGCCCTTGCAACTTGGCCATAGGCTGCTGCTCCCAGGGATGAGGGGAAGCAGAGCAGAGCAAAAGCAGCTGGAGTAGATAGGAGGACCATGTCTGGTGCCTTGGCACCTTCTGGGGCTTGATCCTGGGAGAGATCTACCTCCAGAGCTATCTCAGATTTCTGTCTTGGAGACAGCTGAACGGTCCAAAACTGAGCCAGCCTGGGAAAACTAAGCAGAATGGGTCCAGTACGGAAGCTCTCCCCATGGCTTTCCCATTCAGCTGCATTGACACATCCTGTGATGTGCTTACTGAGGCTACAGCATAAGCACAGAGGCATCAGAGGCTTTTAAGAACAGTTTAGACAACATCTGTCAGGAACAACACAAGACTAGTTTATCCTCCCTTGGACGGATCGGATGATCTGTTGGGATCCCTTCTAGCACTACTTTCTATTATAATATAAGACAGTACTATAATGAAGGTGAAAACACTGATGAAATTGTCAGTTAACCTCTCACATTTAGAATGAAAAAACGTAGTCAGCTGAAGCTGAAATAGATGACTCTGCCTATCCTGCAAATAAAAAGCACATCTGAAAACTGCTGCGAAATACGCTTGCAGCTCAGCTGTGTTATAAGGTATTTTTTCTAGACATCAAAAGTGGATTTCCAATATACCTGAGTTCCATATGAGGCTCCATATTTGACTGAAAATCCTTCCTCAGAATGGATTTCTGTATGATACATTTTGTATCACTGATAGAATTTAAATTAAACTAAGTTTTAATGGAATTACTTTATGTTCTTATACACAATTAATAATATTCTTTTTGCACACAGAGCTTAACTTGTTACTTAGTACAAAAGAGTATCTTTGTACTTCAAAGAGACAGAATTACTACTTTTAAATTAATTTTGCAGTTTAAACAAACTAGTAAATTTAATTTCTGCAACTAACCTCTGGTCTTCTTTCTAGGGCTTCTTTCATTAGGGGGTGAAGTTCTTCTACTAATTCCCTAAATTAAAAAAAAATCTTTGTAAACACAATCCAATCTCCTCTGAAAAGCGTATTTTATTCAATACATAAAAACAAATGCCTAAAGTGCAAATAAAAATTCAAGTATATTTAAATCATAACAAAAATAAAGCATTTTGATTAAAGGCAAATAATTGAGAATATGATAAGTGGGGAAGTACCTGAAAACAAGGGAATTTGTTCTTCCAAATCCTAATACAAGTGACTCCGTTATTTCTATGCTTTCAAGTCTCATCAAAGGCACTAGCTGCTTTAGTAAGACTCCAACAGATGGAGTTCCAATAGCCTAAAATATATTAAGAAATTATTGACATTTAATGTCAGGATTATAATTATTAAGTAAATACATTTTTTTTTTGTTTACAAAAAAACATTGTCTAAGAATCAATGTGTATTTTTAAAATGTGCTGAAGTGATATCAGTACCCCAGTCTAACTGGATGTCTGATACATCACAATCATCTCAATAAGGCCTAACAAATAAATACATCTGGGAAATCTCTTTGCTTTAATTCAGATTATTGTAATTTACTTAATTTCCTGTTTCATTAAAATATTCCAGTAATTGCATTTGTGGAGCTACTGCTCCTCTCAGGTTGCTACTACTTGAAACTGTATTTCATATACCCTTCATGTCTGACAGGCATACAACATTTATGCAGAAATCTACTTATTTCTTAATAATGTTATAAATTTACAAATTGGAGTGCTCTACAAGAAAGGGGATGACAAACTAGAGTTACCTTCAACACATATGTCCAGAACTTATATATTTTGAGTATCACCCAGAATATGGAAAAAAAGTAGTATTTTGAAAACGCCATGGCTTTTGCCAAATATTTATCAACACATTGTATTGATACAGATTATACAGATGTTTTAATTGTTAGTTATGTGCCGTAAGAAGTTTGTGTATATCAAAATATTCTCTGAACTGAAATACTTTCATCAGTATATGATTTTGCATGCAGATGCAGTTTAAAACTCTCCTAAATGAATAACTTGTTCGAACCAGGATGCATCACCTTATTATCGTAGTTCACTGTTCCATCAGGAGTGGTAGCCATGATCTCTGGTGTTGAAGCACGCAAGTGCCCTGGGCTCATAATACTGGGCTTTGCTACTCCAAAGCAGAGAATAAGATAGTTTCTCCACAAAGTAACATAGTTGTCTCCACTGCTTGCTGTACTTGTTTTCTTTGCATTAACAGGAATACTAGAATTAAAAAAAAATAATAATTATTAAAATAATTTCCCAGTCTTAATTACACAGTATCTGAAAATATTTCAAAAGGGAAGAAAACATTCTGTGTATCCACCAGCCACAATTCATCATAACACGATAAATGGGAAAAAATCAATGAAGGAGAAAACTAGAGTTTTCCACCTTACAATTTGCAATTATGAAACTCAAAACTGAATGTATGGGTAGCATCTTTCAGGACTCAGCGGACTGATACTGAAACACGAGACTAAAAAAAGCTGGCATTAAAATCACACAACCCATAAAGATGAGTTAAATGCAGATTGTCACTTACTTTGGATCCACAAGAGGCATTATCAACTGTAGCCTCGTGAAAGCGTATGGCCAAGCATAGCTGAGAGCTGTAGGACAATGTTTTGGTAAATTCTCCTGCCTAAGAAAACTGAAGAGGCAGAGAACCCATGGGTCTTTAACGGACTGTGCAAATATCCAGACATGGGAAGGACTTTTCACATCATAATGGCTATTTACTAGGACAGCATTCCACTCCACTAGCCATTGCAAATCCACGCTGTGTGTTAACGGGATTGTTGTCTACAGAGAAAAAAGAAAAAAATCATAGTGACACTTATTTATTCCTTGCCATGTTCCCTGTCAGTACTTGTCTTTATTTTCAAGTTCCATGGCTAACTGCTGTTGGATTTTTTAGACTAACACTTTTATGCTTCCCATCACATTGCCCTTTCACTCAGGAGGAGCTTTTCACAAATGCTGATAAAAGCTATCTCATTATTTCCCCTCCGGTTCTTCCTTAAAGCTCCTGTGTTCTGGTGCTGAGTCCAGCTGGAGGCCTGTTATTAGCAGTGTTCCCCAGGGGTCAGTACTAGGGCCTGTCTTATTCAATACATTCATCAATGACCTAGACGAAGGGACAGAGTGTATCCTCAGCAAATTTGCTGACAATATGAAGCTGGGAGCAGTGGCAGATACAGCAGAAGGCTGTACTGCCGTTCAGTGAGATCTGGACAGGCTGGAGAGCTGGGCGAGAGGAACATAATGAAGTTTAACAGGGGCAAGTGTAAGGTCCTGCACCTGGGGAGGAATAACCCCACGCACCAGTACAGGCTGGGCATCAACCTGCTTGAGAGCAGCTCTGCAGAGAGGGACCTGGGAGTTTCGGTGGAGAACGGGATGACCATGAGCCAGCAATGTGCCC